ATTGTACAACACCGATTTAAGACAATAAAATTGATTTGAAATTGTTAGTGGCCTGTTTTCAGTCCTTTATAATCCCAGTTCATGTGGCATCTGAGCGAGGCCTTTATAATGTGTGTGGTTCTACCAGCCTCGGCTTTTGGGCAAAAAAAGGGCTGTTTTCTGCTGTTTTCTGCCCTCTTACACAGCAGGTGAAAGCCACCTTTCCTGAATTCACATGAAGCCTGTGAATTTGGGAAAGTTGAAGCCATCTGGGTGGGAGCTGTAGTTCCTGGTTTCTCTGTCCATATTACCTGTCCTCTCCTCCTGCAGTGGTTAGGAACTGTCACAGGTTGATAGCAGACCTCTCCCCAGCCAGTTGGATGCTTAAATTCAATTGATATTTCAGTATTTGTAGGATTACATTGTCAGAATCAGCAAGCTTGCTGCTGAACAAAAAAGGGACTTGAAGTGTGATATCATGATAACATTTTGGTATTAAGATTAAATATTTTCCTGCTGTGTTTGTATGCATTACAGTTTTCTTTTTTGAACAGAGCAGGCACATGGCTTAGAATTCTCTTGCCCACATAGCTTTGCAAAAAGTCACTGAAAATGGCAAAAGGGACAGTGAGGAAACTGAGAGTGTTGGTACTGACTTCAGGTCAGGACAGGTTCCTGTTCTGTCTGGATTAGAATACTCTAGGAGGAAAAGCTAAACACTGCATCTGGGATGTGGGAGAGGTGCTGAATTAATTAATCCAGTCCTTCCATTCTTGCAAAAATTTCAGCCACACAGCTGTAAACTTTCAGAAGCCAAATACCGTAATTCCACCAAACATTTCCCAAAACTCCACTTGCTGAACTCTGAGTTATTGTTGCCCATGAGCATCACTGGGGAAAGTCCTGCCCACCAGGCACTTGTGTGATGCAGCATCACCCCACAGTTACTGCACAGTGTTGTGGTTTTGTAATGAAAAAATCTTATTTCAAAATCATCATTTATTGAGAGCTGGAATTGTTTTCTTTTTCCCTTGCTCTGCCCTGTTTATAACCTCTGTTTCCAGCCCCTGCCTTTCCCACCCCAGGGAATTGCTCTGTGAGAACAGTCCTACCTAGTAACTCTGGGCTGGCTCACATGCAGGGACAGTCAATTCTTTCTCCCTGCAGAGCTGCAGAACCATCAGCGCAGGGGACAACTCTGAGAAACTGCACTTTCGTGTGCTGAAAATGTGGTGGCACAACCTGGGCAAAGACCCCACGGCAGCCCTTGAAAACCTGGTCAGAGCTGAATAATTACAAATGCTGCTCTTTCTTTTTTCTGCTCAGCACACTTGTTTTTTTAGGATTTGCAGGGTTTTTTGGGTTTTTTAAAAACATTTTTCCCTTTTGTAGAAAACCCTTGTGTATGTTTGTTCCCTGCAGCATAAGATGGTAGTACATAATACATACATGTAAAAGTTTCTGATGCTGAGGGTAAGGGAGGGGGGTTTGTTTTGAAGCTGCTCATTAAGAATTTCAAATGTTCAGGTGAAAATACTGTAGCCAAATGAAAGATGGACCACTGTGTGTCACATGCCTGTGTAGACAGAGAACTCTCTGCTGAATCCATAGGACTCTTTCACAGGCAGCAGAGCAGAGGGGGAAAGTGCTAGCTGGGAAAACTTCAACAACAGGAATACACTCTCTCTTCTAAAAGCACTGAACCATGGGACCTGGACAGTTCAAAAGCACCAGTGGAAATTGCACAACTTTCTAGATGTTGACTGGGACGTCATGCTGCTGTTGATTCTAGGAGAAAACAAACCCAAGCAATTCTTCCAGGGCATTTTGGCTTTGTTCCTGCATTTTATATTTAGTTGTTGGTAAGTACGTCAGCAAAAACACACTCATTCAACTCTGAAAGATCAGAGGTGACAGTGACATCAAGGAAGCAGAAATGGGTGGGTGGGTGTTGAACCAAGGCCATACAAAGATCAATTATTCTGCTTCCAGCTCTTTTAAAGCTTTATTTCACAAGGAGTTAACTCCTTCGCAGCATGTTTGAGCTCTCTGGTGCTTAACTTGATGTTGGCTTCTCTGCAGTGGTCCATTTTGCCTGGTCACCTCACAGTCCAGGAGGGGAAGGGTTGTGTGCAGGGAGACAATACCCTGGCATAGCTCTGCAGGGCAGGACCTAATGCTCTCCAGAGAAATGCTAGCAGTTGGATTTATTTAGATTTATTTCCATAAATGTAGCACTAAGCATGGGTGCCATTCCCTGGGTGAGGAATGGCACGTAGTGCAGCGATGCAAACTTCCCTGGGACATTTCTTTCTAAAAACAGCCTTTTTAGGGACAATAGAGTCAGAACCACCCCCTCTCCTGGGAGATGAAACCTGGCAAGGGATTTGAACACTTTCACAAAACATGTTAAATAGTGTATGTCTAAGAAGGGGCTGAAGCATATGTCAAACACAGGTTTCCTCTTACCATGGACAGAAGGTAACTGAGTTCCCAAATGTGCAGAATTTTTCTTCATGTTTCTAGTTAATGCTCAATATACAACTGTTGGGGAGGAACAGAATAAGGCACTCTTTGAGTTTTGCATGTCACCAGTTCCCAACATGGATGTAAATGGCTTTTAACTAAAACATTTGCTATCTCCTGAACTTCTAGTGCTGGGCAGCAAAGCCCTTAAACTCACTCAACATCAGTTTAGCAGGTTTTCCCTTCCCTTTAACAGAAAACAATTGGAAGGAAGCATCTTTCATAACACAAGGTTTCCTTGGAACCTTTTTTATTGATATAAAAGAAATTTTATTTCTCTGTGAATTGAAATAAATACCTCCTATTTCAAAGCAGGCCTTGGGGAGGAAGATGAGAAATTTGCTCAGGTGACATTGCCACAGCAGAGCAGGAATAGGCTGCTCAGGGAAGGGACAGCCAGCTGCAGTGGGACCATGGGCGGCTCAGGGAGGGGACAACCAGCAGGAATAGGCTGCTCAGGGAAGGGACAGCCAGATGCAGTAGGACCATGGGCTGCTCAGGGAGGGGACAACCAGCAGGAATAGGCTGCTCAGGGAAGGGACAGCCAGCTGCAGTGGGACCATGGGCTGCTCAGGGAGGGGACAGCCAGCTGCACTGGGACCATGGGCTGCTCAGGGAGGGGACAGCCAGCAGTGTCCCCGGGCTGGGAGGATGGGAGGAGTGCCAGAGGTGGCTGCTGGCAGGGACAGCGGTGTGGGCAGGGCTGTGGCTGTTCCCAGGGCACGGGGACGTGGCGGTGCGCGCTGCCAGAGCCCCATCTGCAGGCGGCCGCCGCCCGGGCGCAGTGTGGGGTAAGGAGCAGCGCTGACATTATTCGGAGAATTAAATGAATCGCCTCAAAAAGCCTCCAAAAACATGCCAACCCCCCGTTCTGCAGCCATTCTGCTGCCCGCTCGCAAAGGTCAGGTGTCCGTGAGGCCCCAGATGGTTGATGCTTGCAGAGCTTCTGATTTCAGGACTCTGATTTCAGTGCCCAGCCAACTCGGGACCTCCCGAGGGTCTGACTCTCCCCACTCTGGCGAGTCACTTCGATTTCCCCTTGCTTTTGGTAGCAAGATAAAATAGATAAATGATACATAGGTGTCTCAAGATAAAATAGGCAAGTTAAAAAAAAGGGAAAAGGTATTGTGTGCTCTGGCAGATTAAGAGCACAGATTGTGCTGCCTGTTTTGAAGCTTCTTGGCTGCTCTTAGAAGGGGTAAGGAGCTGGAATAGTAAAGCTTTTTCCCTCATGGGATATCCATGCAAGTCTTTCTCCTATCCCATTACTGTTTTCCATATTGACTGGTGCCTTCTTCCCTCTCTCATGTTTACCGAAATAAGCCGAAATCAGGGCAGGGAAGGAGGAGGAAGGGATGTGGTGGACAGACAATTGCATAAGCTCCACTTCCTAAGGAAATGAGGCAAAAAGAGATTCAGACACCCTGGTTGCAGTGATAGAGAAATTTGTATTCCTGTTTCCCTTGGCAGCAGCACTGCACTATGACAGGCCATCTTTTATCACTTCTCTAAACAAAGTGCAGCTTGGGACCCTGTGATAAATCTTCCCTTTGCCCCATCCCACTCCTGAAATAACTCAGAAGTGTCAGTTCGGAAAAGGACGTGCAGCATTTCTTCCCCTTATTAGCTGAAAAAACAGGCCTGTGGTAACCTGGCCCGCTTGGAAGTGTCGGCCTTTCCATGTTCCATGTGAGCTCTCCTACAACAATCGCACAACGTGCCAGGAACCCACATCTCCACTGGGTCCTCCCCCGTCCTACAGAGCACTGGAGCAAAAAGCTGTTCCAGGTGCATTTGGCTTTTCGGGAGGTACATGCTGCGGCCTGGTAAGGGCTCCTGTTGAGCTCGGCTTTCCCATGAAGTGCAGATAAAACTTACTGCACGAAACATGAGCAGAAGGATTGCCTGAGCAAGCTGCCTGGAGGAAAACCTGAGGGGAAGGGGAAGCAGAGGCGCCCATGCTTGACACTGGCGCAAAGAGATGTGGGTTCCTGGCACCTTGTGAGATTGTTGTAGGAGAGCTCACATGGAACATGGAAAGGCCGACACTTCCAAGCGGGCCAGGCTGTCAGCGCCTGTTTCCCCGTGGATAAGTGGGCTGCTTTTCCGCCATTTAACAATACGACAATTTTGGGGTGTGCTTGAACCCGTGTGGAGGAGTTGGTGCTGAGCGGGGCAATACCCCCACCCCGCTCACTGCCAGCACTGGAGCACGGGAAGGGCTGGGTTTGCTGCGCGGACGGCGCTCCCCTCAGCCCGCCCCGCCGCCCTCACGGCGCCCGCTGCCTCCGCCCTCCCCGTGTCCCCGCGCGGCCGCCGTACCGCGCGCGTGTGCGGCGCCCGCGTGAGTGGCGGCGGCGGCGGGCGCGGGCTGAGGGCGGCGGGCGCGGCCCCGAGAGCGGCGGGCGCGGCCCCGAGAGCGCCGGGCGCGGCCCCGAGAGCGGCGGGCGCGGCCCCGAGAGCGGCGGGCGCGGGCTGAGGGCGGCGGGCGCGGGCTGAGGGCGGCCCCTCCTGCCCGGCGGCTCCGGGGGCGATGCTGCGGTGGGGGCTCCGCGTCCTGAGCTGCGGCTGCTCCGCCCCGCGGAAGCGGCAGCACAGCGTGCGTACTGCCGGGCCCTGCCCTGCTCTGGGAACGGGTCAGGCCGGGTGGCGCTATCGCCGCTCGCCCTGCCGGTGTCCGGGCAGCGCAGGCCCTGCCTGCCTCCTCCGGGGAATGGTGACACGGCCCAGGGTGGAACGGGGGTGCTCGCCCTTCCTGCCTCCGCCTCGTTCATTTGCTGCGGCCCCGCGGGGTGGAGCTGTCCCTTTCTGCCCGGGGTTCGTGCCGTTCACGCTCGTCCCGTCTGCGCTTGTATCCCCTGCAGGTTCTTGCGATGGCTGAGGATTTGATAGCAGCGGTTGCCAGCCAGACAAAGAGACTCAACAGCAGCAGCGAGGTGGTTCAAAGGCTGGAAGAAAACGGGCATCAGAATAAAAAGTTGAAGAGTGATGCAGATGAGGAAGATGCAGAGGATCAGAATAAGAAGTTGCCCAAAAGGAAGATTGTGCTGTTGATGGCATATTCAGGGAAAGGCTACCATGGCATGCAAGTATGTGGTTTGGCAAAGCAGCATCTCCAGCTTATTTTTTGTTTTGGAGTCTGTTAGGTTTAGTCAGAGTGCCTGGGTAGGGAAACAATTGAGTATTTGCAGTGTGAAAAGCCAGGGCAGGGACAGTGTGTGAATAGGTTCAAATGGATCGGTAGTAACTTCATTTTAAGAGGCCAGTGGTGCATGTCTGATGATTCTAGGGACAGTGCTTTGTCATAGCACCAGACCTGCCTGTGCAGGATGGTCTGAGGCACAGCGCTGGCAGTGAGGGGATGATCCTGCTCCATCTGCTGCTCCTCTCCACGTACTGCAAGGTCCGTACACTTAAAGAAACACTTCAGAAGCTTTTTCACCAGCAGGAAACCTCATGCTTATAGGCACATCAGCTGAACTGAGCAAAAGAATCCAATTAATTTCTGGAAGAAAAATTTGCAGAGGCTGGGTTTGGTGCAGCAGCTGTTGACTTGCAGGCACTGGGACAATATTGGCGCTGTTTCATGCAGTTGAAGGAATCATCAAAAACCTCCAGAAGTGTTGCACAGTGAAATTAGAAATGAGCCTTATTTGCTGTAACAGTAACAGCTAAATCAGAATTATGTTTTATTAACACTCTGCTAAAATATAGTTAGGTTTGTTAGAGAATGGTTGCAGAGGGAAGACTTTTAAAGAATTTCACAACAATGTGTAATTAAAAAAAATTCCATCTTCATTTATCCACTTAATATTCTATTTCTTGTTTTTACTGCATATGGCCTATTAGAGAAATGTGGGATCTTCACAGTTCAAGACAATTGAAGATGACCTGGTCTCTGCCCTTGTTCAGTCAGGGTGCATCCCAGAGAACCACGGGGAAGATATGAAGAAGATGTCTTTCCAGCGCTGTGCTCGAACAGATAAGGTAGGTTGGGCTGTGTTTTCCTGTATTCTGAGGTTTGCACACCTCTGCTGCTAAAGCATTGTCCAGAGAGAGATCCATCAGCAAGTGAATGGTCCTTGAAATCTCTCCTTTTGTCCACTATTAAAGTACAAGCAAATAGACTTGTTATTCAGTTATTTCATTTCTGCAAGTGTTACCCTAGAGCTTCCAAAGTACATAATTATGTGGAGTTTTGTTTTTTTTTGGTTTTTACAGGGTGTGTCTGCAGCTGGACAGATTGTGTCACTGAAGGTCAGGCTAATAGATGACATCTTAGAAAAGATCAATAATCATCTTCCTTCTCACATCAGAATTCTGGGTAAGAACACTGAAATAGGCAGAAAAAATGTTTTCAAGAGAAGCTTTCTCTTACAGAAGGTCTCTGTAATTTTACTTAAATAGGGTTGAGTTTTAATGTGCTTGAAATTGGGGTTCTTTTGAACAAATTTTTTTTGTTTATATTTTGTTTGAAAAACATCCTTGTTGGTAGGAGTGAGATCACAATCAATCTGTAACCTCCTGATTCAAAAAACCTAATGTCACCTTTAAATCCAGGCCTGAAGAGAGTCACTGGGGGGTTCAACTCCAAGAACAAATGTGATGCCAGAACCTACTCTTACATGCTGCCAACGTTTGCCTTTGCCCATAAGGACCAGGATGTGCAGGAGGAGCTTTTTCGGCTGGACAGAGACACCCTTGAAAGGGTCAATCGACTGCTGGGCTGCTACAAAGGGACACACAACTTCCACAACTTCACATCACAGAAGGGCCCCAGGGACCCCAGTGCCAAGAGGTACATCATGGAGATGTACTGTGGAGAGCCCTTCGTCAGGGAAAACGTGGAATTTGCAGTGATCCAAGTGAAAGGTCAGAGTTTCATGATGCACCAGATCAGGAAGATGATTGGGCTGGTGATAGCAATTGTGAAAGGTTATGCTCCTGAGTCCATCATGGAACGTAGCTGGGGAGAGGAGAAGGTTGATGTCCCCAAAGCCCCAGGACTTGGGCTGGTTTTGGAGAAAGTACACTTTGAAAAATACAACAGGCGTTTTGGGAATGATGGGCTGCATGAGCCACTGGAGTGGACAGAGGAGGAGGAGAAGATTGCTGTTTTCAAAGAGCAGTACATCTATCCTACCATTATCAACACAGAAAGGGAGGAGAAATCCATGGCAAACTGGCTAAAAACCCTCCCCATTCATGACTTCAACTCGTCTGCTGTTGAGATGCAAACTAACAACAAAAATTCAAAGGTAATGACTGAAGCCATTATTTTACAAATGGAAGCTGTCAAGTTGAAACATCTCTTCCCTTTGTAACATTTTTATTTTCTGTGAAATGCTGTGGAAATGACAGTCATCTGGAGTGTGAAATGTGTATAATCTTTTCTGTCTTTGTGCACTTGATGATAGTGGAATGAACTGTGCAAAGCATTGTTTTTGTAGGGTTTTACAGGGGGTAATTGAGGGAGGAAGGAAAGCTTTAAGCACAAGCAATTTGCATAATCATAAACTGGCAACAGAAATTATAGACACATTGCCAACTTTTGCTGTTGTGAAAGTGTTTGGGAGTCTAGATTTCAGGTTGACAATTTTGCTTTAAATACCTGCTCGCTTTTTGTATTCTCTGATTTTGGGCTAATTCTCATTTTGTTACCAGATAAAGTTTGGGATCAGGGAAATTTAGGACCAGCTCTTTTAAATTAATATGCCATGAGCTCAAAATAGGCCATCAGAACGACTTCTGAGTAATTGGGATATTGTGAAATTGGATTTGTGCCAACAGGAACTCCTGTGAGCAGTGAGGTGCAATACAACAAAGGAGTAGAATACATTTTTGCCAAAAAGGAAATTTCAGTTAGAGGCTGGCAAGTCCTTGAAGGATGAATGATGGGCAGGGCTAAAAGGGCTAAAACTTCTGTGCAGTGCAACTCAAAAGAAAATAATGGCTTTTTTTCATTTAACAGAATCCTTAAAATTAGCTTTATTTTGTGTAGCAAATGGAGAATGTTGGAGAAATGGAGAAAAATTATGTCTTTGCCATTTTATGCATGATATAAAACTTACAGCCTTATTGAATAGCACAAGCAAGATACCATAAGTTTCTCAGGGTTATTTTTGTACTTGTGGTAGTTTTTTTTCTGAATGCTGAATATGTGAGAAGAGGGCACGGCAAAAGCCACATTAGTTTGTTTAAAGCCTAAGAGACCGTGTGGCTCAGAGTCTGTTACCTGGTGGTGTTGGCAGCACCTGGTGCTGCCATGTTCCCAATCCCTGATGTATTCCTGGAAGGAGGAAGGTTCTGCTCCCTGCAGATAGACCCAGCCAAGTTTGGCTTTGGCATCACTCTTAGCACAAGCTGTCTAAAAGGATAAATAAGGCATGATATGACAGACTCTGCTGAGATTTTGCAGACTGTTTGCGCTTCAGTGAGCTGTGCTTGCTGGTATGAAGTCAACTGTGTGAATGTCTTGGAATTTGTTTTCTAGTAGGATATTAAATGGCCAGAGTTAAATTTTTGTGGGATTAGGTTTTTTCAGCAAGAAGTGGTGAGGGGAAAAAAAAAAGGGTAACTACAACTAGATATATAGAACCACAGATATATACTATGCTAGCTTCTCTTTATAAAAATAGTTTGATATCAGTCATATCAATTAAAATACTTGCTTCAAAAAAATATATAAATCCCCCAAATTAATTGCATCATATTGCTTACTCCTGAAGGAGTAGCTAGAGAACTATGACTACAGTCTCTTGGTAACATTTCTAACATTCGTAGTTTTTCCTTAGTACTACTTTGTGCAACTGACTTCAATTTTAAACAAAGTGAAGTGAGCCCTGGCTTATCTGTAATATAGGTTGGACATAAATTCTCTGCAGCAGACAAAATTCTTGAATATGGCTTTAGACAATGTAACAAGCTTAGCTTTTGAGGGACTTGCATAAAAAAACACTTAACCTGTCTCACTTGTATTTATCTTAAACATCAGCATTTCGTGTTACTGTTCCACTTTCAAGTTGCCCAAATACTGCAGGTTGTAATTATGGAGTTCTAAATGTGAGAAGAAATTTCCTCTGGTAATTGTAACCCCAAGTACGTTTTTTGTTACAAGAAACATCTTTACCAACACAGGTGTTTTTTACAGTAGATGGGTCTAACCCATGAAGTTGAGATCCAGGACTATTTTCTTGTGGAGAAGTTTGAAGTCAGTATCTGTGATTCAGGTCAGTCTGTGGGTGTAAATGCAGCACTGACCAAGCATTTTGTGTTTTGCTTTGCAGAAGAGCAGCGATCTCGAAGGCAGCGATGGTTGTGGCGATGATTCTGACTGAGCCAGCAGCTGGCTGGACGTGGGACCCTTGCTGCTTGCAGTTCTCTTTGTCTACAAAAAAAGTGGCCTTTCCAAATCCAGGAATCCAGTGAAACAGGAGTTTGTGTGCTTGCAGAACGAGAACTGGATGCCCAGGAGGAGCTGGGTGGGGAAGATAGTGCAGCAGAAAAAACACAAGTTTTTTATACCACTGACTGATGTACCTGACTGATATACTTGAAAACAGTGTAGTGGGATAGCAGCTTTCTAAAAAAAAAATCTTGAAATGCAGGATATCTTAATTGCTATTTGAATAATGTTTTTATTATGTTTACCTGGAAAATAGTATTTTAAATATGTATAATCTCTATGTAAAAATGGGGCAAGTAATTTTAATACACTCCTTTTTATTATGACGTTATGAATTTGATTTTTTAAAAAATAATTTACATTTACTCAAACTGAATCTTTAAGATTTTATTTTTCATGTCATCTATGGTTTTCTTATGGAATAACATGCATGACCCTGAGATTAGCTCAGTTAATTACAGTGTGGTGCTAAAAATGCCAAGGTTATGGATTCAATCTCTTTAAGGACCATTCATTTAAGAGTTGGACTTGGTGATCCTTGTGGGTCTCTACCAACTCAGAATACTCTTTGATTTAGAAACTGTGGGTTAGGAACTCATTATCATGCTGAACTCCTTTGGTTTTGAAACAAATTTCTGTGTTTTCTAGAGCTTTGCAGGTCTAAAGGAAATGATTCCTTACTCAGTGAGAGGGCTTCAGTTTGGAATGTGAACTGAGCTATACATTCTAAGATAAAACCTTTTCTGAGGGAGGTGCCATCCTCCCAGCATTGCCCCTGTTCTTGGGCAGGTTAAAGGATATAAAAGCACAGCTCCAGGTGTAGTTGGGCCTTTGCTGGCTGAGGTGTAACCCCAAAATCCTCTTGAGCCGTCTGCAGGATCCAGAGTTGAGTTAACTTGGCATGTGTGAAAGAAATGGTGCTGAATTCTTTGGGCTTTAATCAGGCCTGGGTTTGTGAACTCTTAATCCCATCGAGCCCCTCAGAACAGGGAATGTCTACAGTGATATGGGAGGCACATGTCTGGGCACTGCCATCCTCTGAGAACCAATTATAATTTTCTGTGTTTTCTGGAATTGCATGCTCTGGAGTTTGTACTCCTTTTTCCCATCAGTGGTTTAACTTCTGGTTCTTGTGTCCAATTCTCTGTGGAGGTGACAGAAGAAATGATACCCTCTTGCCTTACTAGCCTGCAGAACACTATTGAAGGGTTGGAACAAGCCTCCAAGAATTTGGATATTAGTACAAGCACTTGATAGATTTCTCTTGCCGAGTCTCTGTGGAGACTTGCTTTTTAATATGGGACTTAATGAAAATGAGGAGTCAACTCTTTGTTCCCACATTTAGTGGTGTTTTGCCAAAGTCTTTAATTTTATGGTTCCTTCTGGAATTATTCTTTTGGTTTTGCAGGGGTTTTTTTTGGGTTGGTGGGAACTTTGGGGGATATTTTGGGGGCACAGCTGTCCTTTAAAAAAGGATTCCAATGTTCATTTTCTGGGTTTTCTTTAGAGCTTTTTATTTTATCGTGAAGGCCTTGCTGTATTTTATATGAGCAAGTGTGCAAGTGCCCTGGAGAGGATTTTTGCCTGGATTTTAATTTACATCTATTGCTGGTCCATACTAGTGACCTCCATCCAAAGCTCCGTTTCTTTATACCTTTCAATCTGAAAAAAAATTTCCATTTATCTACTTATAATTAAGGCCCCAAAGCTGTGATATGTACCACAGTTGAAATCAAAGAGAAAAATCTTATTTGTAGAAGAAAAACAATAATAAAATAAAAACAAAAACTTAAGGGTCGCAGCTCCCCCCGTGTGCGGGTGGGAGCGCCTGGGTTTCCCCCCCGCGCTGGGAGGCGAATGGTGTCGCCGCGCGGGGCGGGGCGAGGGGCGGCCGTGAGGGGGCGCTGCGGGAGAGCGCGGCGGGCCCGGGCCGTGAGGGAGCGCCGGGCGGGATGTTACGGGGCTCTATGGGGGTAATACATGGCGTGCGGAGCGGGTCGGGCTGGGCGGGATGTCACAGGGCTGTATGGGGGTAATACATGGCGTGCGGAGCGGGTCGGGC